ATATTTATATTATATACTCATAGATATTACCCTATTTAATATATAGGCTATATAACAACATACATATATATCATATCTGTATATAAGTCCACTTTTGAAATTTTCAGAATAACCCTTGGAATATTTTTCTACAAGAGTACTTCAGAAAGCTCATGGAAGATGAAATTAAATTTTATTTTGGTGCAAGAATTTTTTGAAATACATGCATATGAGAAGTCTTCAAAAATTAATGGAGTATATGAAAAAAACTATGCATAGATTTCAAGGGATTTTTTAAAAAAATATTTATTTATATGAAAGGCAGAGTGACAGAGTGAGAGGGAGAGATAGAGAGATTTTCCTTCAGTCTGCTAGTTCACTCCCCAGATGGCCTTAACAGCCAGGCATGTGCCAGACTGAAGTCAGGAACCAGAAATTCCATCCTAGTCTCCCATATCAGTAGAGGCCCAAGTACTTGGACCCTATACTGTTACTTTCCCAGTTGCATTAGCAGGAAGCTGGATTGGAAGCCAAGTAGCTGGGACTTGAACCAACATTCCAATATGAAATATTGGTGTTGCAAGTGGCAGCTTAACCCACTGTGCCACAGTACTGGCCGCAGATTTCAAGTTTTGTACTATATCTCTTTTTTATTTTAATTAATAAGAATTAATAGACATATAAAATTGTTCATATTTATAAGGTACCATATGATGTTTCAATACATGAGTATATTGTATAATGTCCAATCATTGTCACTCAAACATTTAACATTTCTTTATGGGGAAAACATCCAAAATCCTATTTTCTAGTTTTGTTCTTTTTATTTTTTTATTTTTTTAAAGATTTATTTTATTTATTTGAAAGACAGAGTTACAGAGAGAGGTAGAGAAAGAGAGAGAGGTGCAGGGGCCCAAGGACTTGTGCCATCTTCTGCTGCCTTCCCAGGTCATAGCAGAGAGCTGGATTGGAAGAGGAGCAGCGGGGACTAGAACTAGTACCCATAAGGGATGCTGGCATTGCAGGCCAGGGCTTTTAGCCACTGCGCTACAGCGCCAGCCCCCAGTTTTGTTCTTTTTTATAAAGAAATATACAGTACATTAGCATTATCTATAGTCACCTTACTATGCAGTAGAACCCCAGATTTGTACTACTATCCAGCTAGAACTTACTGTCAACCACCTGTCCCTATGCTGACCTCCCTATCGTCCAGTAACCCATTATACATTTAGCTTCCAAGAGATTGCCTTTGGTTTAGGCTCATATTTGAGTGTGGTTCTTGTCTTTCCATGCCTGGCTTATTTCACTTAACGTAATGGTCTCCAGTGCCATTCATGTTACTGCACATGACAAGATTTCATCCTTCTTATGGCTGAGTAGTATTTCATTGTACTATACTTTCATCCATTCACCGGTTAGTGGACAATTAGATTGTCTCCATTCCTTAGCTGTTGTGAATAGTGCTTCAATAAATATATAAGTGCACATATCTCTTCCACAGATTAATTTCATTTGCCTTGGATATATACCCAGTAGGGAGATTGCTGGATCACATGGTAGTTTTCTTTACGAATGTCCATACTGTTTTCCACAACCGTTGTATTAATTTACATTCCTACCAACAGCATGCAGGTAATCAAGTAAAGAAATGAGGCCGTTACAGATTGCTCCATGAAGACAATAAGTAAGATGATGAGTAGAAAGCAGTGGGGGAAGACTTCCTCAGGGAAAGTCTGGGAGAGATGGGGATAGGCGGCCAGCGAAGGACTCTCTGAGGGAGTAACATGATCCCAGACCTGAAGGGTAGAAGTCAGCCACACCAAGAAGCCAAGGAGGAAGATTGTAGCAGAGGACTTGGGCAGCACAAAATCCTCCAGGCAGCAAAGAGCATGTGTTAAGGAACAGTCTGGGCTGGCGCCATGGCTCACTAGGCTAATCCTCCACCTGCAGCGCCGGCACCCCAGGTTCTAGTCCCAGTTGCTCCTCTTTCAGTCCAGCTCTCTGCTGTGGCCCAGGAAGGCAGTGGAGGATGGCCCAAGTGCTTGGGCCCTGCACCCGCATGGGAGACCAGGAGAAACACCTGGATCCTGGCTTTGGATGGGCGCGGTGTGCCAGCCGCCACAACCATTTGGGGGTGAACCAACGGAAGGAGGACCTTTCTCTCTGTCTCTCCCTCTCTCACTGTCTAACTCTGCATGTCCAGAAAAAAAAAAAAAAGGAACAGTCTGAAGGTCAGTGTGAAGGGAACAGAGGGAGCCAGGCAAGGAAGCAGAGAAAATGATAGTGGCAAGATGAGAAGTGAGGCCCTGCAGTGACCCAGAGGTCGTATGTGGTGAGGACTTTTATCCCAACAGCGATGGGCACCTGTGTGGCATGGAGTGGGTAACCTGATATTTGTTTTTAAAAGGTTGTAGCGTTCTTGAAAATAGTTTTTGAAAGGGAAAGGATTCATAGAAGAGACATGTTAGAGGGCTACTGCTATCTACAGAAGAGATGATTGTCACCTGGACAAGGGTGAGGGCAGTAGAAATGGAGAGAAGTGGATTGACCTGTGATCTGTTTGGAGGTGAAGTTGACAAGTAGTATTTAGTTGTAAGAGATGAGAAAGAGGATGGACTCCAGGACGACTTCGAGGTTGTTAGCAACTTAGAGTTCTGAGACCCTTGTTCACTGATGGATAAAAGGCTGAGGGAGTAACCTGTCTGGCGAAGGGGGAGAGAGGGTGCCAAGAGGCTGAATGCAGCATGTTAATGCTGAGAAGTTGGTTAGACATCTGAGAGGCACCACAGGCAAACAGACGTGACAGACCAAAGCTCAGGGAACTGTCTTATTTGAAGATCTACAGCTGAGACTCTTCAGATTACCGATAACATCCAGAGCCAAGGCACCAGAAGAGATGTCCTCCAGAGAAAGTGGAACTAGAAAAATAAAATAATGTCTGGAATGTGTGAAGTTCTCCAGTAGTTAAAGAGCCGCCAGCAAAGACTTTTGAGAAGATGCCAGGATATTTGGGTCTTCCCTGAGTGACAACTAGTCTAGCAGTAGAAAAGTCAAACGGGCACTTATGTAGAGTCCCACCTGGACAGGCCTGCTGTGACTGTAGCACTGAGCAAGCATTGTACCTGGCCCATGAAAGGTAGCCATCAATATTGAATGAATGAGTACAAATTTTGGAGGCTGCCAATATGTCCTGACACATTTCTAGGTATGGGGATTAAAAAATGAATGTCTGTTTCAGCTTCTTTCCAGTGGTCTAACATCACAGAACTTTTCAGGCTACTTTCTGAATGTTTAGCCCACCTTTAACAGGATTTAGAGAATTTGCTAAGTGACTAGTAGATCTATTCCTTATATTTGAATGTGGAACAGATCAGAAATCACCAGTTTGCATTTTCAAGACTCATTGCTCAATAAAATAAATAATTAATAAACAAAAAGTAAAACTGAGCTTCTCTAGAAAATCCAGACCGCCCCCTTAGATCTCTTGGAATTCCTTTCTTATTCCAAAATAGATCACTCAGTACTAAGTTCCAAGAGATTTATGAGCCTCTTGTTTTTGTTTTGGAGTTTGTCTGTTTGAAAGACAGTCACCGAGAGAGAGGGAGAGACAGAGAAAGAGTGAGAGAGAGAGCAATCTTCCATCCACCTGCTGGTTCATTTCCTAAATGGCCACAACAGCCAGGACTGGGCCAGGCTGAAGCAAGGAGCCTGAAACTCCATCTGGGGTCTCTCACATGGGTGACAGGGGCCCTTGGCCGTCTTCCGCTGATTTCCCAGAAGCATTAGCAGGGAGCTAGATCAGAAGTAGAGCAGATAGACTCAAACTGGTGCTCATATGGGATGCATACATCGCAGGCAGTGGCTTAACCTGTAGCACCACAATGAGCCAATCTTTAATCTACTGTTTTCCAGAATCCCATGACCAGAACAGAAATTCTCAAACTACTCTGTTTGACTATGGTGATGCAGCCCTGTTTGGAAGGAAAAAAAAAATGTGTAGGACTGAGGACTGAGGCTTAGGCAAGTTAAGTGACTTGTTTATGGTCTCAAAATATTTAAATCCTGTCGCTATGGTCTGAATGTTTATATTCTCCCAAATTAATACGTCGAAATTGTAACCCCCAAGGTGATGGATGGTGTTAGGAGGAAGGTCCTTCGGCAGCTAATTAAATCACTGGTGGAGCCCTCATGAGTGAGATTAGTGTCCTCACAAAAGAGACCGCAGACAGGTGCCTTGCCTCTTCTATCACATGAAGACATAGCTAGAAGGCACTATCTATCAACCAGAGGGTGGCTTCTCCCCAGACACTGAATCTGCTAGCACCTCCATCTCAGACTCTCTAAGCCTCCAGACCTGGGAAAAATGGTTTTGTTCTTTATAAGCTACTCAGTCTATGGCATTTTGTCATAGCAACCCAAATAGACAAAGACACCAAGCTCTTTGTCCAATCCTGTGCTGACCCAAACAGCCCTCATTGAGATGGGGATTGGGAGATAGCTAAGAATCTTAATTTATTAGGTTTTTTTTTTTTTTTTTTTGGACAGGCAGAGTTAGAGAGAGAGAGACAGAGAGGACAGAGAGAAAGGTCTTCCTTCTGTTGGTTCACTCCCCAAATGGCCACCACAGCTGGTGCTGTGCCGATCCGAAGCCAGGAGCCAGGTGCTTCCTCCTGGTCTCCCATGTGGGTGCAGGACCCAAGGACTTGGGCCATCCTCCACTGCCTTCCCGGGCCACAGCAGAGAGCTGGACTGGAAGAGGAGCAACTGGGGACAGAACCTGGCGCCCCAACGGGACTAGAATCCGGGGTGCCGGCACCGCAGGCGGAAGATTAGCCTACTGAACCGCGGCGCCGGCCAATTTATTAATTTTAAAGGTATACTTCACTTTTAAAAGCAGCAAACAAAATCTTAGTAATATGGAGAAAAATAAAAGTGGCACTTCAGCCTTTTCTGAATGATTTTTGTTCTAACATTTTCTGAATGTGTTTAACATGCATGAATTTGTCTTCTTGTTTTACAAGGAAGAATACACAATTATATTCCAGAGTAGACTGTTCATGGCCATTAGAAGATGCTCATTGGTACTTGTTTTTATAACCTTGTGGCTGTCAACTAAAGCAAAAATAGGTAAGATGTTTCTGTAAGATAATCTGCAAAAAGATTTGTGGTTTAAATTCTCAATTACAGATGAACTGTGCATTTGTGACAACTGTTAATAATAGTTGGGCTTTTGTAGTCAATCTGTTATATTTAAGTGGAAAAGTTCAGTTCTATGTATGCAATTATTATATATTTTATTTAATTTATATTAATGATTAATGTAAGAGTTCAATCATATCATTTTCCTTTAAGAAAGTGGCTGGGCAGCCCAGCCAGGCATCATAATTGCATACTTTACCTTAAGGTGCATTTTAACAAAGGGATATGCATGGATGGATTCTTCCTCTTTGATTTTTTGTTGAGAGCTTGTTTTGGTCTTTCTGTTCCATTAGAATCAAAGAAGATCAAAGAAGCAGAGACCAAATATATAAGTCCTTGAAAGAGAGGAAAATTTATTTTAGTTCTGAAAATAAAAATGAGAGATTTTATTTAAAATGATTTTTTAGTGTTTCCTTTGTTTGATTTAAATAGCTTCTTTACTGATTTGTTTTTAGGGTAGTTGAGCTAAACAATGTTACAATTACCCAAAAGAGATTTTCAATGGATTTTTTATACTACATCTGAAAATTCAAAGTGAAATCTGTAATTTTGAAGTTCTTTTATTTTTGGTTGCTGAGTACTAATAAATCTTAATTTCTGAATAGTTTTCACATTATTAATAAAAAGGCTGCTGGACCTCCCTTTTAAATAAGAATTTAATGTGGCAGCTAAAATATAGTAAATAGTAAGGAAAATTCTTTTAAAAGGATGCATTCATGTACTTTCATATTAGCCATGAGGGGTAATGGTTTGTCTAGCCCATTAAGACTTTGAAAGAATAATGAAATATGGCATAGGTAGACCAAATTTCCACTTTAGTGCCACCCACAAACACGCCAGAACTCTTGAATATTTTCTGTTTGCTATAAAATAATGTTGCAGATTACACTAATAAAGCAAGAGAGAAGGAATTATTCCTTAATGTGTCCCTAAAGTTTGCAATACTCTTTTGAAACTGTCTCTTTTTTCTTGCTATGAATATTGAAGTATTATATGTCATAACTAGTAACGGAAACAAATGTGATTTATTCTGGGAAGCCCTCTTTTGTAGTCTGGTGAATAATTTGCATATAAGAGAGGCTGGTTTTTCCTGATAACTGTTCCTGAATGTTCTTCCAATTCTATTTTCTCACCACTTTCCTATTAATAGTTTTGGTTGTGGTATTATTATTTTGAAAATGATGCATATTTTAAATCAAATCCAATTAGACTTTAACTTGGTTGCCTTCTGTTCTCATTGTGCATCACCAACTCTGTCAGAGCAATGTAAATTATGTATATGTCCATGATTGGATGAGTTTAGTCTTACCTTGCTTTTGGGAATTGCACAATGCCAGTTTTTAGTTTTCATTTTATTTTTAAAGACAAATAGACAGACACACATACACAGAGCTCTTCCATCTGCTGGTTCGTTCCCCAAATGCCTGCAGTAGCCAAGATTTGGCCAGGTGGAAGCCAGGAGCCCAGAAATCAATCTAGATCTCTCTCCCATGTGAGTGGCAGGAATCCAAGTACTGGAGCTATCATTTACTGCTTCACATGTGCACATCAGCAGGAAGCTGCAGTTGGGAGTGAAGTCGAAACTCTAACCCAGGCACTCCCATATTGAAAGCAAGCAACCCAAGAGGACAAGGTCTAAATCCTTGCACTAAACCCCTGCCCACATAGCCTTCTGTTCTGAAATGTGTTTCCTATTGCCAACTGAGTATTGAGTTTGTATCTTTTTGCAGATGTGTGCAAGAGAGGAGATGTGACTGTGAAACCTTCCCATGTAATTTCACTTGGATCAGCTGTCAATATTTCGTGCTCTCTGAAACCCAAACAAGGCTGCTGGCACTACTCCAGTTTTAACCGGTTAATCCTCTATGAGTTCAACAGAACAATCAGTTTTCACCATGGTGGCTCCCTCAGTACTCAAGTCACAGATCTTCCCCTTGGGACAACCTTGTTTGTCTGCAAACTGGCCTGCATCAATAGCAATGAGATTCGAATTTGTGGGGCAGAGATCTCGGTTGGTGGTGAGCATTTCTTTCTGAATCTTCAAAATTATCGATCTTTTGCTGTTTTTCATGTGCTAAGCAGACACCTAAACACAGAACAGAGTTCTTTCTTCTCCCCCCTCATGGAAATATTTGATCTTGACAGTAACATGAGTTACTAAGTGTGGGGAAATCCAGAAATCAATAGACTTGAAGTCCTATGTGGTAAGTCTTCCCTCCTCTATCTCCATGAAGACCTTTCACCTGATGGCCTTGGCCTCCAGTGGCAGGAAAACGGATCTCTGCTGCTAGGTCTTTACGTCTTCTTGACTCAGGAAAATTTGTTCAAAGCGCCAACTTCTGAAAAAGGAGCAAGAGATGTCTCCTTCAGTTTATACAGCTCAGGCTGACTGCACATGGTGGAGCACCTCTCCCAACTCCTAAGTTAATGCGTGAAATGTAGTTCTTCCACCTATGTCTGCCTCCAACCAGTGGTTCTCATACTTAGCAAACAAAACTATGTTCATAATAATCATCTTTTCCTTGGTTCTCTAGAAAAGTGCCCAAAGCAAAACTGATGTGCTAACACTTCATGGGGTGGGTTGGTAGAGAAAATGTACAGTCCTGGGGAGACAAAGATGAAGGAGTGAGCCAAGCAAGGATCAAAAGCAAATGCAATCACCCACTGGTTAGCAATAGGAATATGTTTTGAGAAATAGGTTGTTAGATGATTCCATCCTTGCACAAATATCAGAGTGTAGCAACATAAACTAAAATGGCCATGATGTACTAGGCGATACATTCTTCTCTTTCTTAAAAAGATTTATTGTTTATTTATTCAAAAGGCAGAGTTACAAAGAGGGAGGGAAATACAGAGAGAGAGAGAGAGAGATCTTCCATCCACTGGCTCACTCCCCAAATGGCTACAATGGCTAGGACTGTGCCAGGCCAAAGCCAAGAGTCAGAAGCTTCTTCCAGGTCTTCCACAAGGGTGCAGGGGCCAAGCTCTTGGGCCATCTTCTGCTTCTATCCCAGGCTCATTAGCAGAGAGCGGGATCAGAATTGGAGCAGCCAGCTCTCGAACCAGCGCCCATATGGGATGCCAGCATTCTAGGTGGTGCGGCTTAACCCAGTGTACCACAATGCCAGTCCCTCCTCTTTTTTTTCTTAACTAGGTGATATACTCTTCTTGGGCCACCATCATTTATGGGATCCATCCTTGACTGAAACATCTCTTTTTTGAAGTTTGCTTATTTATTTTAAAGTCAGAGTAGGGAGAGATAGAGACCTTCCATCCCCTAGTTCTTTCCCCAAAATGCTTACAACAGCCAGAGCTGGGACAGGCCAAAATCAGGAGCTAGGAACTCCCATGTGGGTGGCAGAACCCCAAGTACTTGCGCGATCACTACCTCTCAGGGTGTGCATTAGCAGGGAAGCTGGATCAGAAAAGGAGAAAGACTCTATCCCAGGCACTCTGCTATGGGATGCAGGCATCCCAAGCAGTGCCGTAACCTCTGTGCCACAATGCCTGCCCCAGCTGAAACACTGTTGAGTGGTACATACCTGTACACTATGGTGATGTTATGAATCTGTCCAGAGCTTTTACAGAAAATACAGCTTGGTTTATTTGGTGACTTGAGGATATCATCAGAAAGGATGGAAATGTAATGGCTTGGAAAAGAAAGAATTCAACCGCCCCTCATTGGTCAAAGTTCAGAGAGTATCAATCCTGCTACACCTCTGGCTTACATTGTCCCTCCAGGCAGCAGCTGGGGAGTAGGTACTATGATGTCAGAGTTGGTATCTATTGAATGAGCTACAGTGTGCAGTGTGGGCCAGCAGACACCTGTCTGTAGTTTGCAACCTGCACCCTATAACTTCTCCAGGCCTAACCAAAGAGGGTGCATGGCCCCCGAGTGATTCCATGGCACCTTGTGCCCCAACAATTGCAGGGGAGCTTTGGTGTGGCTGTTGAGAGGTGTGAAACTAGGAGGAATCTCTGCAGCGAGCTGACTGACCAAGCTGCAAGGACATGGTCCTGTTATAAAAGTGGTGGTAGGGCAATCAATGAGATTCTTTCCAGGAAAACCGGATACCTCTTTCCTTTGACCAACGAAGATATGATTGGTGCCAGGTAGTTTTCCTGTAGCACTACCAGAAGCATTTAGCAGAAGATCAAGCAAACAGCCTAGCAAATCACTGGTGGGAAAGCACATAGGCTAGTTCCAGTTCTCCTCTTCGCGCACTTATGAGTCAGGTACTGTCAGCTCTGACAGTTTCTCCTGCATAGAAAGACCAGGGGCTTTGAATCTCAACCCTTCTTCTAGCAGTGTACCCTCAGACAACTAAAGTTCTCTGTGCCTCAGTTTCTCTCTGTGTGTTATGAAGATGATAGCATGCCTTGTAAGCACAGTGCTTAACCCAGTGCAAAGCACTTAAGAAGCGTTGAAGTGATGAGCTGTAGGACTGCAGTTCCTTCCAGTTAGACTCTGTGCTTCATGCATGCATCCTGCTGGGTAGCGGTGCACAACTTCCTTAAAAGAAAATATGAACGTCAATTATAGATAACGTTAATTTTTTCCCAAAACACAGTTCTTTACTTCCCTCATTCTGTGAACACCTGCATATATCACCAAGATATTTCCCCATTTATCACACCAATACTGCAATTTAAGTTAGAGAATTTCACCCCTGTGATTTCAGTTCCAGGCTCAGTAGCATGCTACTGGCATTTCTGCTTTACAGTAGATTAGCAACAGCCGTGGCACTCAGTTCCCTTACAGATACACTAGGCAATCCCATTCAATCTCACATCTATGCTGTCCTGTATTAGAGTGCTGCCACCCCTTTTCATTTTCAGTTTTCCATCCAGTTTACTTGGATGCATTCGGACCATTTGCAGCACTGGAGGATCTAGAGAGATGGTGAAGGGTATCCATCATGCTTCAGTGCAGTTGGGTGGTGATTCCAGAATGTTGCTTGTACAGCATCTCAAGCTATTACCACAAAAAATGGCTGCTCTTTGAGCATGTTTAGCACCTTTGAGAAAGATTGACTAAAAGCAACACCTTTTATGGAGTTTGACCAGTCATTCCAAGAAAAGACACTTGGTTTCACCCAATGTGCTCAGCTCTCGATGTTTTCCAGTGGGGGAATCAATAGCCTGTTTTCTTTCTTGCAGTAAGTGGCAGTCCATGTCTTGAGAGGTCTATCATCAACCTTGATAGTTTCTGAGAATTAGGAATGGGCAAGCAGTCTTTAAGCCTTTTCTTCCTTGTCCCTTCTCATGTTAGGGCTGCTTTGCTACCAGGAGCTCATCCAAATTGTGTAGAAACGAACCAGTATCCTGGCTTAACTTCGTAGGATTGATTTACTAACAGTTCAGAAAACCAAGGCAATAAATGAAAAACAGTGAAGTCTTGCTTGGCCATTTTCAGTATATGCTTTGGATGTTGATATTTCTGAAAGCTATTTTTCTAAGACTCCATGTTTCCCATAATAAAGAGGGCTTTAAAATGATTAGCAGCCATAACACTCATAACAACATCTTGTATTATAAGTTATTTTAATAGTCAGAGGATTTGATTTCTGTTCTTTGCTTGTGATCAGCTACTGTGGGTTTGTATTCAGGAGATGTCCCGTTTTCCCTAGTACAGTCTCTGACTGGACTCAGGAACACTAACTTCATGGCCCAGTGAAGTTGCACAGAGAAAGTTGACTTCATCTGTGGGTGGAAGCTCCTGCCTTTAAAATGAGACTTTCTGTATACTGTTAGCGGTAAGGATGGGGGTTGGTCTATTTCATTATGTGAAAATTCTTTCTCATTTGCTCATGAAAAGATCTGGGAGGGATTTAAGGTAACAATGGCGGGTTGAACATATGAACACATTTACTCTCATTGCCCCTGAAATAAAGCCAAAATGTGGTTAAGTTTTCAAGTGGCACAAACCCTCAAAGACAAAAAGAATGGGAGGGGACACACATCAACAACATTTTGAGAAGCTGAATAGTCAGGTTATAACCTGACTTAATGCAGAAGCTGCCTTCTTAGAAAGACTCAGAAATGACACCATGTGCTTCTGGGAATGAAGAGTAGAAGTGGGAGACTTTGCTGAGAGTCTATTTCAAAAGCAGTTAGAGTCTCAGATTCCTTCCCAATCCCACGTAGGCAGATGGCACTGCTGCACTTCTCTGGCGTGGCTGGAGGCTTGGTGTCAGAGGTCACGGACAAGGAGATCCCAGCTCTGCTGAGGTTGGCAAGTTTCCATGCTAACAAAGAGTGATGAAAGGGATGTGTACCTACTGCTCTCTTCAAGCCCACACCCGCCTCCAGGAAGACTGGGAAATCTTCTAGGAAATCTGATCAGGTCCAAGGAAAATCATCTAAAACTGTTGACAATAGGAGTTCCTCCAAAAACCTAGCCAGATCACCCTGAAATGAAACTCAGACTTGGCAGATGCTCTGCAGCTCATACACATACACAGAGCCCCAGTCTGTAGGTTACTGCCCTGCTCCCGTGTCAGTAAAAATATGAGAAAAAAAGGGGGAGGAGGAGGCATTTAGCCTGGCAGTTGAGACACCACTTACAATATTCCCTTCTTGCACTGAAGAGCTTGAGTTCCGTTGCTGGCTCCAACTCCTGATTCCAGTTAATGTAGACACGGGGAGGCAGCAGTGATGGCTCGAGTAATTGCATTCCTGCCACCCACATAGGAGACCTCGGTTGAGTCATTTGGAGAGAGAACCATAAGATAAGAGCATTTCTCTCTCCTATCTCTATCTCTCTCTCTTTCTCTCTCTGGCATTCCCTCTCAAAAATAACATATAGATATATAGAACTTATAAAAATATCTAATGTGAAGGTCAGAAACCAAAACACAGGGAACAGAGCATATAAGCAAAAGGGAGGAAAGAGAGTATAATCAGGAAGCAACAGTGTTAGAAGACAAAAATTGCCCTTGGTACCCTTAGATAATTAAGAGATATATGTGTACAAAAAAAAAAAGAGGATGCAATAAATAGGAAACACTCAGAGAATAGAAAAATACACCCCCCCCCAAATTAAAGAAAAATGATAAGCAGAAGTGAAAAACTCAGTGGGAGGGGTAGAAATGTAAACCAAAGGTGTTTTCCCCTGACAGTGGAGCAAGAGGACCAAGAGTTTAAAATACAAACATAATATCAGAGGAAGTTCCAGCACATGAAAAATAAGAACTTTCAGAAAGAAAAAGCAGAATCACCAGGATAGTAATTCAAGAAAGCTTCCCAAAGTGAAGGCCAAGAGTTTCCAGAATGTATGAGCTCTGAGAATCCAGCAGGAGGAATGGAAATAGACCCTCAGGAAGCACTTTTCTGGAAGAATTCTCCATGGTGGAAAAGAAGAGGATTCTACTAAAGAGAAGAAATGGACCATACACAATAGTTCTAGAACTGAAATGGCTTTAGGCTTCTCAGCAGTGACCTGGAATGCAGAAGCCATGGAATCAGTGCCTTCAAGATCCTGATGAAAATCCTTTCCAACTTAGAACTTCCTATACTCAGCCAAAGTGTCAGTCAACTGTGAGGGTGGAAGGAAGAAAGACATCCCTGGCCAGGCTCACAATGTTCTCTCCCGTGCCCCCCAGCCCAAGGAACTGCTGGAGGCTCTACTCCACCAACAAAAGTAATTACATCCAGACACAAGAAAGCCCTGGTGCTAAACAAACAGGAGATCCCCTGCAGAAAAAGAGAGAAGGAATGTCTGGGTCACTGAGGAAGGGCAGTCCCAGAATGACAGCTGTGTATCAGGTGAGGAAGCGTCTGTCTTATTGGAAAGTCTCAAGACTGCACGAGAGAGGTCCTCAAGCAGTTAAAACTATACTCCTGATGACTCTGAATGGCTCTCTTGTAAAAGATTATATATTTATTTATTTATTGAAATGCAGAGTGACAGGGAGAGACAGAAAGAGAGATCTTCTATTTGCTGATTTACTCTCCAAATGCCTATAACTGCCTGGGCCAGGTCAGGCTGAAGCCAGGAGCCAGGAACTCCATCCAGGTCTCCTACATGGGTGGCAGGAACCAAGTACTTGGGCCATCATTTGCTACTTCCCAGGTACATTAACAGGAAACTGAATTAGAAGCAGAGGCAAGACTCAATCCTAGGCACTCTGATATGGGACGTAAGCTTCCCAAGCAGCAATACCTCCCCTCACCCCAGATTCTGAATATGTTCAACAGTGATTAAGTAATAATTGGCTCGAGAACCAAGAATTATGTTACTAATAAAGACAAAATACATAGGGAAAATAATTACTAACTTCAAGATAAACAAAAAGTTGTACAGAAAATAAAAAGTTAGCGAAGTTTTCTATCTGACTCAATCATGAGTGGTGTGTGTACACATTAAACATTTAAGTACATATATGTATACCTATATAAAAGAATATTATTTTAGGAGAAAGGAGAATTTATTATACTATTCAAACTATGAGTTAGATATTGTTATACCCATCCTATAGATGAAACTAGAGCTCTAAGAAGTTGATCTGTTCAAAGTGGACCTAATGGTGCCCAGGCCTACAATAGGTGCTAAGGAAAAAAACATGTTGAGTCCATCAATGACAGCTTTCTTCAGTGCAGACAATATCGAGAGCTTCATAGTGCACTTGTTCTATTTCACCCTAATGAGCTACCTATCTATGCAGGGGTCTCAATAATCGGGTATAAAGGGATGACTAAGTAACAGAGTGTTTTCTTTTCTTTCTTTTAAACTTGAGAAATTCTTATCTGTGGGGCTTTCTTTGACCACAAAAATGGCTTCATTTAAAAATACACACAGGGGGCTGGTGTTGTGGCACAATGGGTTAAACTGCTGCTTGCGATTCTAGCATCCCATTTCTGAGTGCAGGTTCAAGTCCCAGCTATTCCACTTTGGATCCAGATTCTGCCTAATGCACGTGGGAACGTGCAGAAGATGGCTCGAGTACTTGAGACCCTGCCACCCACGTAGAACAGGATGGGGTTCCTGGCTCCTGGCTTCAGCCTGGCACAGCCCTTTTGCTGCAGGCATTTGGGAAGTAGCTCATCTGATGGAAGATATTTCTCTCTCTCCCCCCACTCCTTTGCTCCCTCCCTCTCTGTCACTCTGCTTTTCAAACAAATCTTTAAAAATAAAATACACACCTTATAGAAGGGACCATGCTTACCTTGCGCGTCTTTGTATTTTCGCAACTAGCACTGACCTGATGATGTTAACTTTTTCAGTGTTCTAGCACTAAGTTCACCAGTCAAGGAGCATAGTAGAATGTAATAGTGAAAGGTTTGTACTCAAGTCACCCATGTCTGAGCTGGAGTCCTGATTGTGTCACTTCATAATTTTGTAATCTTGGGCAAGATCTTAACCTCTCTAAATCCTAGTTTCCTCTTTGGTAAAAAGACAATAATGGCTCAACCTCAGTTTCTAATTGAGAAGAACTACACATTGAACAATTAGCACAGGCTGTGGTATATAGAATTTGACCCATACTCACTGTTATTACTACTGTTGTTAGAAGAAATGCAGGCTTCCAGCTCATTTGGGTTTGGAGGACATGGAGGAAGAACTATTGTGTGATTGACAAATGATAACAATGTGGATTTTTCTCTTTGTTTTTCAAGTTGTTCCAGAACAGCCTCAAGACTTATCTTGCATACAGAAGGGAGAGCATGGGACTGTGGCCTGCACCTGGGACAGAGGACGAGACACCCACCTATATACTAAGTACACTCTAGAGTGAGTGAGAATCCATTTGTGCAGCTGCTTTGTAGGTCTTGTAGATGACATTCATGAATATCAATTGACAACTTTTTGCCAGAGAGAAGTGGTAGATACCTCTAGACAATTAGAAACTTAAAAACAATTCTAGGGTCCAGTGTTGTGTCGTAGTGGATAAACTCACCACCTGCAACACTAGCATCCCACGTGGGCTCGAGTTCGAGTCCCAGCTGCTCCACTTCTAATCCAGCTCCTTGCTAATGCCCTGGGAAAGCAGCAGAAGATGGCCCAAGTACTTGGGTCCCTGCACCCATGTGGGAGAACTAGAAGAAGCTCCTGGCTTTGGTCTAGCCCAGCCCTGACAGTTGTGGCCATTTGGGTAGTAGACCAGCAGATGGAAGCTGTCTCTTTCTCTCTCTCTCTCTCTCGCTCCCCCCGCCCTTTTTCTCTCTGTTAACTCTGCTTTTCAAATAAATAAAATAAATCTTAAAAAAAAATTCTGGGGGGGCCAGCACCGCGGCTCACTAGGCTAATCCTCTGCCTTGCGGCGCCGGCACACCAGGTTCTAGTCCCGGTCGGGGCGCCGGATTCTGTCCCGGTTGCCCCTCTTCCAGGCCAGCTCTCTGCTGTGGCCCGGGAGTGCAGTGGAGAATGGCCCAAATGCTTGGGCCCTGCACGCCATGGGAGACCAGGAGAAGCACCTGGCTCCTGCCTTCGGATCAGCACGGTGTGCTGGCCGCAGCACGCCGGCCGCGGCGGCCATTGGAGTATGAACCAATGGCAAAGGAAGACCTTTCTCCCTGTCTCTCTCTGTCACTGTCCACTCTGCCTGTCAAAAAAAAAAAAAAAAAAAAATTCTGGGGGCCGGCGCCATGGCTCACTTGGTTAATCCTCCGCCTGCGGCGCCAGCTTCTTATATGGGCACTGGGTTCTAGTCCCAGTTGCTCCTCTTCCAGTCCAGCTCTCTGCTGTGGTCCAGGAGGGCAATGGAGGATGGCCCAAGTGCTTGGGTCCCTGCAGCCACATGGGAGACCAGGAGGAAGCACCTGGCTTCTGGCTTCAGATCAGCACAGCTCTGGCCGTAGCGGCCATTTGGGGGGTGAACCAACAGAAGGCAGACCTTTCTCTCTCTCTCTCTCTCTCTGTCTATAACTCTACCTGTCAAATAAAAAAAAAAATGTGAATGGCCTCACTTAAAAAAAAATTCTGGCATTCATCAACTAAAACTGGTTTGTTCATCAAAAATGTGAGGCCCAATGTTGAGTCTGAGTTCTAACTCAGAGTTTTCTTCAGGGCATCCAAGGTCCAAGTTCTGGGTGTTCTTCCCTGCTCTAGTAAGGCTAACCTGCTGTGTGGAAAACCTTCCCTCTTGCAGTTGCAGACTCTTGGGACATGATATATAGACTCTTCCTTGTGGTAGCTTTTCATTAGCTTGAAGGAGTTTCTTTTTAAAGCACTGTTGACTGACCTAAGAGTCCATGAGAATAAACGGTCTGGGAGATCTTGAAATAGATGGAATCTTGAAATAGATTCCATCGTCCCATCCGAGATCTAGCTTATTCACACTGTGCTTGACTGAGTAGGAGATGGGAAGGAAGAGGATCCCAGGATGCTGGTGTGGCCACAGCTATTCTGAGAGCCGACACTTCCATCCAGGGGACAACAGAGTGGCTATAGGTCCTTTCAATAGTGCTTGGAACTTCGCCAAGGAGCCAAGATGACAGCCAGGATTTTGGGAGTTCCAGCAATGGAGGCATCATTACTTATATATACAAACAACAATTTAAAAAATCTCAGTTCTACAACAACAAAAAAAATGGAGGGCAGGGAAGTATGGACCTATTTAGGATCATAGCCTATAAATATTTCCATGGCATATTCCCTAGAAATAAGACTGTTCTTTAAAAACTAGAATCTTATGGCTGGCGCCGTGGCTCAATAGGCTAATCCTCCACCTTGCGGTGCCAGCACACCAAGTTCTAGTCCCGTTCGGGGGGCCAGATTCTGTCCCGGTTGACCCTCTTCCAGGCCAGCTCTCTGCTGTGGCCTGGGAGTGCAGTGGAGGATGGCCCAAGTGCTTAGGCTCTGCACCCCATGGGAGACCAGGAGAAGCACCTGGCTCCTGCCTTCGGATCAGCGCGGTGAGCCGGCCGCAGCGCACTGGCCGCAGCAGCCATTGGAGGGTGAACCAACAGCAAAGGAAGACCTTTCTCTCTGTCTCTCTCTCTCTCACTGTCCACTCTGCCTGTCAAAAACAAACAAACAAAAAACTGGAATCTTAAATATCTGAATATTTTGCTCTTTGGTACTAAAAGGAGAAAGTAGTACATAAAGTACCTTGTTCAACACAATTATCTTTTGTTTACAGGTTAAATGGACCAAAAACTTTGAGTTGGCAGAAGCAGTGCAGTGATCAGTATTGTGATCATTTGGACTTTGGATTCAACCTAACCCCTGATTTACGTGAATCCATTTTCACAGCTACAGTTATTGCAGTGAATGTTCTTGGAAATTCTTCACTTGAGTCTGTGTTCACTTTCTTGGACATAGGTACACTTTATTTCACTTTTTATGAGTGTTGTTTATTGGCATATGATAAATTATTTTTTAGATGACTGAAATCTTTTGTGTTGTTTCAAGAGTGACAGAGGTGGGTGCAAATAGCCAAAAGACATAGGCAAAAGATAGAAGTTATTATGCTTTAATTAAGGAGCTTATGATCCTAGAGCTACATGGAGACAACCATCCAAAATGGACTCTTCAACAGTATTTTGTCTATTGGAGAAATAACAGTGTCTGGCTTCAAATCCCATGAAAGTACCTCAGCCAATGTTACCATCTGGCTGAGAGAGGGTCTTGTGAGGTCATTCAAGAAGCATGGCCTGGGCCCCTCTTGATGGAGGTGTCCTTTCACCCTCATGGCTGCTCCCACTGTCCCTACAAGAGGACCTGCTGGCCAGAGCAATGAAGGACAAGCTGTAAATACAACTTATGGAGATACAAAGACATTTTGCTCTGAGAATACTCACCTCTACCCTTTTTATCAGCTTGGAAGCTGGAATGGGCTAGTCCCCGCACATTTGGGGGCAAATACAATGGGCCCTGTTGAATCAGAAGCCAGTCTCAGGCTGCTGGCTATCCCAGGTGAGACTGGGTTTCGGACTGCCTGAAGTTCCAGCCTCACAAACATGTCCCCCTTCCGTTATCCACTGCTTCTTGTTGCATGCCCACCACTGTGTGATCACAGGTATGTATTACACACTCTCTTTCTGCACCTCCCCCCATCCTAGCTGCAGCTCTCTGTGGACCATTCATCTCTAAACCATCTTCTTTCCTCTTGTTCTTTCTTCTTTCCATTTGTTCCTCTGTCCTTTGTTCCTTTGTTATGAATTTTCCTCCAACATTTCTTCTGAGGCAGTCCTCCTGAGTAGCTATCTCTGGCTTCTCAGTCATTGGTACTCTTGGATTTGGTGCATTGGTTTTCTTTAAATCATTGGATTGAGTGGATTCGATATATCACTAATGTTGATAGTAGTCATTTACCAAATTTGGTTGTTGTGGATCTTGGAAATGAGTTGTGTTCAATTCTTTATAGCACACATCAGTACATAAGGAATTATGGAGGCTGAATCACACTCTTCTGTTTGTCCTGGTTACTAGTGAGGCCTCTTCCTCCGTGGGACATCAGAGTCACATTTCTAAACGCTTCCAGCAGCAGATGTACCCTTCAGTGGAGAGATGAGGAGTGGGTGCTGCTTAATCGACTCAGATACCGGCCCAGCCGCAGCAGGTCCTGGAAGATGGTAATGACCTTTAGAGTGAAGAGGAGAACACATTCAGGGGTTCTCAGTATTGCTATACAGACCTCAGCCTTGTCATAGGAGAGATTAAGGGATTTAAGAATACTTAGTTCAAAATTAGATACTTGAGATTTGTCAGAAAGTCATGTATACCTCCTTTTATTAGGAGGTGTACTGACCACTTAAGCCACAGTTTTTTTTTTTTTCTTTTATTTATTTGAAGGGCAGAGTTACAGAGAGGCAGAGGCAGAGAGAGAGAGAAAGTCTTCCATCCACTGATTCACTCCCTAGATGGCCGCAACGGCTGGAGCTGGGCTGATTTGAAACCAGGGACCAGGAGCTTCTTCTAGGTCTCCCATGTGCTTGCAGGGCCCCAGGACTTGGGCCATCCTCTGCTGCTTTCCCAGGCCATAGCAAAGAGCTGGATTGGAAGTGGAGGAGCCGGGACTCCAATTGATGCCTGTATGGAATGCTGGCACCACAGGCAGAGGCTTAGCCAACTACGCCACAGCGCCGACCCCAGACGAACACACTCTTAATTCTGGGGTTCTTGTACCTTCCACGCCCAGCTCAGTTCCTTGCGCATTTGGGACTAGTGGTCAGTTGGATGGATGGATGATGGGGATTGGGGCCTCCAAGGACACTGGACACGGTATCATTGCCCTTGGCCAGCTGTTGTCAGTGAGGTGTTCTCAGGGGCTGCTGTTGCCCTGGGCCAGCACCGAAAGGTCTCCCTGATTCCAGGGTTCATGGTCACTGCGTGCCTTCCCCGCTCTTTCTCATCCTCCCAGGGCAAGGTGAGGTCTGAGAAAGCTGAGGAATGCGGCTGAATTGTCTTCGACAAATTCTCTGCCGATAAGACCTGGGGGAGTTTCCAGATGCTTTCTTATGACGATTCCAGCTAAGAACATCGGGAGTCCTGCTAAGCCACGATGACTCAGCCCAGGGAAACCAGGGCCCACAGTGGTTCCCAGGAAGCCAAGTAGCTGCACCCAGGTCTGCGTTCAGCCAGGGGGCGGAAGTCACAGGCAGCCTCAGCATCCCCATTGGAGCCACGTCATGGAGGGGACAGGCTGATCCAAAGCCAGGAGCTAGGAGCTTCTTCTGGGTCTCCCACATGGGTGCAGTGGCCTAAGGACTTGGGCCATCTTCCACTGCTTTCCCAGGCCATAACAGATAGCTGGATCGGAAGTGGAGCAGCTGGGACTCGAACCCACATGGGATTCCAGTGTCACAAGCTGGATCAAAAGCAGAGCACCCGGAACTATAGCCTGTGCCCTGATATGGGATTCCAGCTCCACAAGCAACAGTTTAACCTACTGTGCCACAACACTGGCCCCAAGCCACAAGCTTTTGAAAACTAATATTAATTATCTGCCATTTATTTATAGGAAAGGATTAATTTTCCCTTCTCTTCCACTCCTTGCCCCATTATTTTTAGCCTTTTTAAAATACATATTGGAAAGAGAAATATTAAGGAATGTCCTTAGAGGCACATATGAAATTAAATTTTCCAAAGAAAAGATCTATATTCTTGTATAAGCATTACATTTTTAGCAATAGTAAGTATAGGATTATGATTTTTCCATGATTTTTATAAACTACAGTGGCTTATAATAACAACAAAGGGTCAATTCTACATATAGCAGGTACTCAAGAGAGGTAGGACTAGTTACACTCATTCTCGTGGAGTCAGTTCTATGTCTATGTTAAAACAACTCATCACATTCGAAGTGTAGCCAGGAAAACATATTCTCCAGTCTAGAAACTTTTCTGAAAGTTTTAGAAAATTGATAGTTTACAACTATTACTCAATTTATGTATTTGAAAGGCAGAGCAGCAGAGAGTGAAGGAGAGAGATCTTCCATTCTTTGATTCACTTCCCAAATGGCCACAATGACGGAACCTGGGCCAGGCCAAAGCCAGGAGCCAGAAACTCCATTATCCTGGTTTCCCACATGAGTGACACGGGTGCAAGTACTCGGACCATTTCTGCTGCCTTCTCAGATGCATGAGCAGGAAGCTGGATTGGAAACAGACTCTCCAGGACTTGAACTGGCACTCTGATAGGGGATGCCAGCATTGCAAGCAGAGGCTTAAGCTGCCAAGCACATGCTAGCCCCCTCACGCCCATTACTCAGTTTTTCAGTTGGTTTCAGGATCACCCAGCATAGATGGGTTCTAGTCCCTGGGGATTTTATTTTTGTTTTTGATGAAAAGCTGTTGTTTCAGATGAAGATCATATGCATTCAATAGCCCAGTCGCTGATACTTCTTGTCATTGAATGGTAGATCTGAACAATAAAAAGGGTCAACTGCTTTAGTTTCTTGTTTTTATCTGAAAATTCTTTAAATTAACTTAGCATTAATAAGCACTTTAAAAAATCTTGTCTGATTCAAGGTTAATGTCACAAATGCCAGAGGAAGACATGATTTGCTGGATCTGAAGCCGTTCACAGAATATGAATTCCAGGTTTCTTCTAAGCTACATCTTCATAAAGGAGGCTGGAGTGATTGGAGTGAATCATTGAAAACACAAACACCAGAAGAAGGTATGCGTTGACAATAAAATGAAGGGGAGAAATTAAAGAATTAAAGGAAGGAGGAGGGAGAAAAGGAGATATCATGATTTCCTTGGAATAAATCTCCAGAATACTGGTACTGAATCAAGAAGTATAAATGCACTAGTTAACAAGTTAATTTTGCTATTAACCTGGGGACTGAAACTCTCCAAGGAGGCAGGGCCTACTCCTGTTGGCCACCAGTCATGCAGCTACAAGCTTATGCCTCAGTAATGCTTGGATGTGATCCTTATGCCTATTTCTTTTACTATTGCAGCAATTCTTTTATTCCACAAAGCTGTACTCAGTAATTAATCTATTTCCTTTATAGTGAACAGTTGATATATTTTATCTACTCAGTTATGTGAAAATTAATATGGCTCCAAAATCATATCAAAATCTTGAAAGAAAGTACATTCTTGAAACACTATTTGAAAATAAAGATAACCAGCAGTCCTCTCTCCTTCACATACAAATATTACACTGCTGTACTTCTTCAAGTCTTTTTTTTTTTTTTGTAAGATTTATTTATTTATTTATTTGAAAGTCAGAGTTGCAGAGAAGGAGAGGCAGCGGCAGAGTGAAATCTTCCATCCTCTGGCTCACTCCCCAAATGGCCACAACGGTCAGTACTGGGCCAGGCCGAAGCCAGGAGCCAAGAACCAGGAGTCTCATCCGGCTCCCCCACACGAGTGCTTGGGCCATCTTCCACTGCTTTCCCAGGCCATTGCAGAGAGCTGGATCGGAAGTGCAGCAGTGGGGACCTGACCCCGTGCCCATATGGGATGCCGGCACTACAGATGGCAGCCTTTACCGCAACACCACAGCTCTGTCCCCTTTTTCAAGTCTTTGGTTTTCAATGCACAGATAGGCACCACCACACTACGTACAGCTATGAAAAAATATCAAAAGTGTTTCTCAATCTGATTAAATTTTCTTTTTGGTTATTATTGGGAAAACATTTATTGACATGTAAGGAAATATTTTACATAAACTTTATGCCATTATTAACAAATCTATGGAGACACAAGAAATAGCCATCTGAATATTAGTTTTTAAAAGTACTCTATTTGTAGAACATTTCATAGTTTATCTAAATTTGGCTTGGAGTAAAAAGTATTGGCATGTCTATTATTTATTATCTAGAGCTTTTGTAATGATAATGTGCAAAAATCTAAATGCTTATTTATGATGCTTACAGGGGTATGTGCATGCAAACTAGTTTCCTGGTTAAGTTAACTTAATTCATATGCTATGGGCTATCATTTTGGTAACTAATGACATTTAGCAATGATATTTCAGTGACTCTCAAGGGCTTAAAGTTCTTATTAACAGAATATAATGCCTAATACATAATTTGTAGAAAAATCCTATTTTCTTCCTGTTTTATGTATTAATTGCATTTCTTTACTTTGAAAAATTATGGTGCAAAGTGAATTCTTTCAATAAATGATGATTTACCACCTCTTATTTTATGATAAAACATCCTAAATTAATGTTGAGACATCTTTCTGCTTGTCATTTTTATAATACAGAGTTTACTCTTTCGATCTTTCTCGTATATCTAGTGCAAGTGTTGTATTTTTTAAAATAATACTTCATGGATTAGATTTTGTTTATATATAGTAGAATAAAATATTTGAAAATGGGCCATATGATATATCAAAATCCAAGATAATAAAAATAAAAAAAGGCTGAGAAATATTTAAGTTATAGCACATTAAGCTGAACTATAGAGAAACGCTGGACTTAGGAACTCTTTTTTTGTTTGTTTGTTTTTTTAACTTTTATTTAATGAATATATATTTCCAAAGTACGATTTATGGATTACAATGGCTTCCCCCACATACCGTCCCTCCCACCCACTACCCTCCCCTTTCCCACTCCCTCTCCCCTTCCATTCACATCAAGATTCATTTTCGATTATCTTAATATACAGAAGATCAATCATTTTTACTTACTTTTGACAGTGACTTATTTAGAGATGTGTTTATGTGTTTAATTAAAATTCCATCCAGCTAGGACTATAACTTTCTCATATCCTGTAAAATAAGCCACCATTGTAACAGAGTACAGCAACTGGTTCTGAACTGGTTCTGAACTCGTGGATGGCTATGATTTGAACCTAAGAAGCTGGCCTGATCAGAGTAATTGCAGACATTCATATGCACCACCTTTACCAAGCCCTGCTGGGTTCCGTTCAATGTCTGAAGCTAGGCCGTGTTTGATCTTTCTGTGGGTTCTTGTACGGTCTCTTTTCCTCTAAGCTACATGGTTTTCACCCTTTACCACTGTTTCTGTCATCAGTTTCTTTATGAAACACCAACTGATGTCAACCCAAAAGGTGTGAATTTTTTTTTAACACTTCTTCCTTTTAACCCCTCACATGTGTACTCATATGTAACTTGGCATTAAAAAAAAAAACTACTAGTAAGCTTTTTTTAGGTATTGTCTTAAACTGTGAATGATTTGTGATCGAGCTCTTTTTTGGCAGCCTTTGCTTCTCAAAATTGAGAGGCATGTAACTTCTGCTGGCTGGTCGGGCGCACTGATTACAACATTTCAGCCCTGGGAGAGAGCATTCTTTACTCCCTGCAGCCTTCCCTGTGGTGTATAGAATCCATTCCTGTCATGGCGCTCCAGGAGGAGCACTTTTTAAAAGACCACTTGGTGGGACTGGCACTGTAGCATAGCAGGTAAAGCCGCCGCCTGCAGTGACGGCATCATATATGGGTTTGAGTCCTGGCTGCTCCTCTTCCGATCCAGCTCTCTGCTATGGCTTGGGAAAGCAGTAGAAGATGGCCCAAGTCCTTGGGCCCCTGCACCTGTGTGGGAGACCCAGAAAAAGTTCCTGGCTCTTGGTTCCTGGCTTCGGATCGGCCCTGCTCTGGCCATTGCAGCCATCTGGGGAGTGAACCAGAAAATATAAGACCTCTCTCTCTTTCTCTCTCTCTCTCTCTCTCTCTCTCTCTCCGCCTCTCCTTCTCTCTGTGTGTAACTGACTTTCAACTAAATAAATAAATCTAAAAAAAAAAAAAAAAAAACACTTGGTAAAGAGCAGGAGGGAAGACAGAATGTAGTTAAGACAGTCCCCAGATTACCCAGATTAGTACCCATCAAAGGCATGCCTGGTAACAGGAAGCAAGCAACCCTATTTTCCTTCTAGTGGAAAACCATTCTTGAATTTGGGCCTCAAGGTGTCTGAGGAAACACCCAGCTGTCAGAGAAAGTGATTATTTCTTTCTAGAACACCCAGGCAGAGAAGCCAAGAGGAAGACAACCAAATCCCTTCCTTAGAGGTAACTTCTCAATATGTTTGTGCTGCCCACTCGCCATTTTTTACAGTCATATTGACATGCTTTGGTCTGGTTCAACTTTGCTTTGGACAGTTGACTTGAAAAGGAAGTACATGTTTGTCCATGACCCAGGGAGGTAAAGGAGATTCCCTGTCCCATCATGGTGGTGGCACAGGTGAGGGGTGAGCAGTGCCCAAGGGAGAGGATGTGCAGAGAAACCAGCTGCAACTGCCCCTGTATACACCGAGAGACTAGGAAATGTATTCATTTTAAAATACTGCCAAGATAGGGTAGGTGTGACTATTAAATACTAAAAGTTATGTTACTATCTTAGATAGCAAGGGCCTTATAACTGTGTAGCTTAGGAGCTGGCAAACATTACTCTACAGTCCAGATAGTAAACATTTTCAGCTTTTCAGACCAAACAATCTCTTACAACTATTTTTTTTTTTTTGACAGACAGAGTGGACAGTGAGAGAGAGACAGAGAGAAAGGTCTTCCTTTGCCGTTGGTTCACCCTCCAATGGCCGCCGCGGCTGGCGCACCGCGCCTATCCGATGGCAGGAGCCAGGTGCTTCTCCTGGTCTCCCATGTGGGTGCAGGGCCCAAGGACTTGGGCCATCTTCCACTGCACTCCCTGGCCACAGCAGAGAGCTAGCCTGGAAGAGGGGCAACCGGGACAGAATCCGGCGCCCCGACCGGGACTAGAACCCGGTGTGCCGGCACCGAAGGCGGAGGATTAGCCTATTGAGCCACAGCACCGGCCTTCTCACAATTATTAATATTAGCTGCTGTCATGTCCGATCAGTCATAGACAGCACATAACACATGGGCATAACTGTGTGCCAATAAAAATTTAAATTTTATACAATTTTCACTAAAAAAAATTCTTCTGTTCTTTTAGCTATTTAAAGTTAGAAAGACCAATGCTGATTGCCTGGTTTGATCAGCTTATTCTGTATGCATCTGTACAAATTTATACTGTGCCCCCTTAAAGTGTATAAGTATTACATATTAATCAAAAAAAAGTTTTAATGAAATAAAAAATAAGGTGTAAAAACCATTATGGGCTCACAGATCATATAAAAATAAGCAGCAGGCTAGATTTGGCCCATGGACCATAGTTTGTGATCCTTTAAGTAACTAAACTCAAAAGGCATGATACTTATATGTTTTTACTTAAAACTTCACAAAATGAAAATGAAAGATTCCATACTTTCTGAAGAGATTCACCAGAAAGTGTTTTCATTAGGGGAAAAATGTTGGATTTGAGATCCAATTCCAGTCCATCCCCCTTTCTTCTTCTTTTCTTCTCCTCTGAGCCCAACACTTACCCAGGAACAAGTAAATGTGTGGGCACTGCTGTTTGGCAAGATGGTGATTACCCCAAAAGGAAGAAATGTTTTTCCGTAAATCCTTCTAATGAAAAATACTCAGAAGTATGTTTTTGGATGATCCGTGAGGACTGTATGTGTATCAGAAACTATGCCACAATGGGACACAATGGTAAGCAGTCAGACCTCAGACTCAAGTGCTGGTTGTCTATTTTGGAAGCTCAGGGGAAAGTTCCTAGAGGAGGTAACCTACAATTCCATTCTTTTCCTGTCAGTACTCAGACACAATGTCTTCATTGATTTAATGTATTTTTAAAATATTCTGCCTCTTTTCAAAAGTATTTATTTACTTATTTGAAAG